AAAACTAATTGATAAAATAATACACATACCCAAATTATCAGCTGCCATCATAATACCATCTCGATACTCTAATGCAACAACTGAACTACCGGTAACAATTGGTGTCCTATTCTCATTATCAAACAAACAAGTAATTTATGTTAAAGTAAATACTATCTATCATTATTTTTATAACCTATAAAATATATTGTATGAATATATAAAAATTATCACATACAAAGTATGCGAAATTGGACCAGAGAGTACTTGGTTTCCACTAGAGAGCAAATCGCCTCCTGATGACAAATAATTATCCATTTTTTTTTTAAAAATATTTTTAAAAAATTATTTTAGTTTGATAACGTTACGTTACACATTTTTATTGCAATTACGTCATATATTAATCTCGAATAAATTGACTGATTTTTTATGCCTGCAGTTGTCGTTGTTTATCAACGGTTTCAAAAGAAGGGTTTGTTGAGTTATGTGAAATCTTCAAACTCTTTCCAAGTCTGAACAAGGTATCTTCTTAATGACCCAACTCAAAGTGGATCAATAAGTACCAGCAAACGCCTCAACAGAAAAACTCGTGCCAATAAGCGAATTTTTTACATGGCAGTGTTTATTTCGAAAACATTAAAAATTATCTATTAAACAATGGTCTTATATCAAGAGTCCACAACAATAATAAAATGAATGCCTCAATGAAAAACAAAAATGGATTTTAACAAAAAAAAGTTGTTACAACTGTGAAAAATTGAAAATAATGCTAAAGTCCATGGATTACAAAGATATTTAAATATATCATCATCATCACTTTTAGTTTTTTACTTGCAAGAATCAACTATAAATTATTTTATCAAGATTTTCTTATAGTCTTGAAGACAGCAATTGAATTCAATGAAGTATTTGGGTGGTCAGCCAATCTCAAATGATTAGAGAAAAAAGAAAAGATGAATAATGACATCAAATGTTTATTTTCTATGTTGGTAAAAAAATACATTATTATACAAAATATAAGTTTGAAAATAATAATCTATTTAAAAATATTTCTAAATATTTGAAACAATTTTAAAATTAATTAATTAAAAAATTGTACATGAACTAAGCTGAGCACGAACTTCTTTATTTAAAATTTTACTAACTATATTAGATTCTGGATCAACTTGTTTTCTGATGCTATTTCATTACGTCTTTGCATAAGAGCTTTTCCAAATAAGCAGTAACACAAAATAGCTTCTTGAGTTTTACGATCAGCAAGAATTATAGCATCACAAAGTTTTTCATATAAAAGTGTAAAGTTATCATTGCTGGGTTGAGATTCTGTTTCATTCAAGGTTGGAGTCATGTCACTATCTACATTACCATTGATAATAGAACCAGTATATTGTAACTGCAAATTGGAGTTTTCAGAAATTTCTAACGTGAATTTCTGTACTTTGTTTTTAGTAGATTGTGAATAATTATCCGAAGATAAGTCTTGGGATCTAACCTTTTCTTTATGTAATGAGTCTAGGAAATCGTTCATTTCTTTATTTTCTGAAGATTTAGTTTCTATGCAAATTGATGATGCAGAGCATTGAGTCTTTGTCTCCTGACATACATCAGAATTTGGTGCATTATCAGATGTATTTTCTATCTGCTCGGGAGTTATTGGAGTAATGCTAGTAGTTACAGAGTCATTTGTTTCACAGTGAGGTAGAGAAGTTACTTGTGATTCTGAATAATTTAAGGATGAATCAGAGATTTGAAGTTTTGCTTCCTGTGTATTAGTAATGGTTTGGGTTCGCTTTTTGATTTCCTCAAAATCGTATTCCAATTTAGCTACTTTAGCTTCAAGCTGAGTATTCTCTTCCATAGCATGTTCCAATTCCGCAATTCTAGCCTCAAGCTCTTCTTTTTCTTTTGCAGTCTGTTCTAATTCTTTGACTCTAGTCATAAGCCTGGCATTCTCTTGCCTCAATAAATCTGATTCGGATGAGTCTTTAGACTCGCCTCTTTAAGCCTCCATGTTTGATAATATTTTTTTATATAAGATGCAGATTTATTCAAATTTCGAATTAATGCGGATAAAAATCACGTGTGTGTTTCAATTTGGAATGCAGATCACTAGAAAAAAATTTGAACATCAATTTTTTTTATTTTCATAGATTAAGAAGATCAAATACAACATAGAATGAAAGATTTCCAAACTTGTGCGAAGAAAAACATTCATGTGTTAGATTGATTAAACTATTGCTAAATTACATAATAAAATAAATACAAATGAGTAGGAACAGATTATTAGCCTAAAAAAATATGTAAAATTACTCAATACTTTCTTAAACCTTATTATATCTATAGTTAGAAACTGTATCTTCAGCAGATCTCCATATGATGCGACGAAATCCAATCACTATGATGACAAACCCTTTCAGCTTATTAAGGTCTGATTTAGTTATCCTGATCCGTTCATCAAATACTCCTGAAGCAGAATAACCAATAGCCTGTCCCTTTGCGATTGTATTCATGTATGATCTCGCCTGTTTTACTCCATCATCCAATACCTCATGTATAGTTGTCTTCTTCGTTTTTTTGAGCTCTTTGCACCAATATACATATCGCCTTTTTAGTAAAGATTCTTCATCTTCCTTTTTGAGTATCTTGTCTAATTTTTCTAACTCATTTGCATCAAATTCCTTTATCTGATTTCCTTTATTATCTCTCATCAAACCAACTAATGAAATGTATTTTAGTTCTAAACTAATATCATTACACCCAATTCCTCTCAGAACAAAAATGTCGAGATAGCCAAAGCAACCTGACCCCTTTTGCTTTTTGCCATCCATTACCAGACAAAGCTCTGGGATGCAGTGCCTTGATGGGAGAAGAGTCTCACCAATTGCCTGGAGAACAGGTTCATTTTCAGAACACAGAGACATCTGTGACCTTGTTAGTAAGGAGGCCTTTAGAATCTTGATGAAGGGAATGATATTACTGGTGACAAGGTCATTATATGCTGACACAACAAGGGGACATTCATCTGCAATCTGTGTGTATATACATTGAAAATGTTTGGTAAAGATATTTTTGTATGTTAAATAAAACAATAGAAAATACAATTACCTCAGCCTTCGGAGAGATAGAAGCATTTAATGGATCATGAATTGTAGAAGTTTACAATTTCTCAATTATGTTCTGGTTTACTGGTTGTAAATATCTACATAATTGCAATGGTTTTCAACTCTCAAGAAAAAATAGTTTTTCATTCACGTTATTAAATATCCATATATTTCATACCTTTGCAATTTTGGGACTTACGATTAACATTATCCTGCATTTTAATTCTGTTGATTGACCCTATATTTTTAGATACATCATTTTCCACTTCAACCAACTCATTCTTATTTTGTTCCAAGATTTTGATTTTTTTGCTTCTTTAATGATGCTACATGAATTGCATTCTAAAAATGGATATTTAAATGATTAATTACATAAAAACACACAAAACGAGGATAGGTGAAAAAAAAAAAATATCTCAGAAAGCGTGGTATGTATAGTAAATTGCATTATATAAGTTTTTTGTAAAATTTCTCACAGTATAAGAAAATCTTGTGTTATAAGATATAAATAATAATAAGAAATAGAAAACTGCCACCCAGGCACTTCCTTATATCAAGATTGATTGTGTATTGCAAGTTGATTGCCACTGCCTTTAACAAATTAACTGCACTGCAGTCTGGGCCCACAACTAATCAGTTAATCACAATCACGAGAAGGCAGGCTCACAAGAAAGTCTATTCTGTAATCAACAGTCAATATTTTTGCCACATAATCTGGCCTGTATGATAGACAAATCAACTGTTGTCACATAACAGACCTTGCAATCATGCAAGTCCAACTCCATTACAGAATGGACCTGCAAAAACAAATAGGAACCTTCACAGTAATGCATCATAGATTTTGAATTGAGAATATATTCCTAAGATATTTATTTACCTTGAACTCTTCAACTTTTTGTAATGTAAGTTTTGGTGTTGATTTTCAATTCTTTCAAACATTTAAAAAGATAGGTTTCATAAAATAATTTAATTGTATCTTGAGATATCAATTTATTATTAAGTCTTTTATTTATGAATGTGAGACATCCTTTAAATGTCCAGTCATTAGAAGAAATATCAAAATATTTGGAAGAAAGCTGGTAAAAATCTTTTTCTTGCTTTGATAAAATGCTTCCATCAAATTTTGTTGGATAATTTAATGACATGTTTGAAGGAAAAAATGATTATTATGTACTATATACTTTTTTCAGGAAGCTTAATATTTTAATTAACATGTCAAATTTCCATAAGGAGTAGATCACATTGTGGTTTTATTAATCAAATATGGTCAGTTGATGTCTTGTGCGACTATATGCAGGGATCCCTAAAATTGGATTAACCGCACATGATTTAGATTCTTAAAATCATGCATATTAATATATATTTTGATTTTTTCCCATATATATATTACTATTACTATTAGTATCAAAAATATTTATGGATCTCTTCAGATTTTTGCAAAGATATGGCCAGGAAATTTATTTTTTAGCACGACTCTAGCGTGACTCAAGCATGAGTGTATTATTTTTCATATAACTATATAGAAAAAATTCTAGCGCGACTCTAGCTCAACTCTAGCACAACTCAACCACATTTAAATCTATATATTTTTGCATACAAACTCGTTTCATACAACACAAAAATCCCCATAGTGTAGATAATGTATCAATACCTAATATATTTTTACACATCCACTCTAACTTCAAATACGGCAGGATTCAATCATCTCAAAAATATGAGTGGCAGATAGGACGTATGATATATTATATAGACGGAAATATCAGGAAGAAATAAATTATACTTCCGATACTTATGTATATTACAACGATTTGTAGGATACAATTTAATAGCGAAGCTAGTGTAGAGACACATATCTTTATTATGCAGTCAATAACTTGATCTCTTTTTCCAGATCTAGAGGATTCATCCATCCGACTCTGATGGACATAGGATTAGAGATTGGTACAGTGGTGTCGAAGACAATGAATTCACGATTTCGCAAATAGTTATTGATAACTCTAGAAGCTTTGCGTGGATCTTTTTCTATGTATTGTCTTATAATTCGTGCAATATCTTCTGTAGACCCTCCGCCATCAAATATTACAAGATGGGTTGAATTTTCACGAAGGATTTTTGGCATTTGAGTGAATTTATGTGAAATATATATTGCGGAAATATTGCTATGGCGACCTCTGGTAAAAAATGAGATGATACGATTTTGAATTGACTGGGGTTCAGTACACACATCCTCAAAAATATATGCTTTACGTCTTTTTGGATTTTTGTACTGTTTTAGATCTGGGATTTTATCAGGGGTAATTGCAATGTATCTAACCTTCATCTTGCAAATATTTGAATTGTTAATTTTATCTCATATCTTTGTGAAAATAGGAATAAATTTTTTATTATTACAAATTATTTTATATTTCATCACGAAACAAAGTTGCTTTTAACAATTAAAGCATAAACTATAATCCATTTCGTAAAGATGGTAAAACAAAACCACGAATTTTTGTCAAATCCTTTTATCACGTGATTGTGGTTGATCGTCCAAAATAAATTGGAAAAGACGGGAAGCGTCAATTTGTTAAAGACTATAGTAATAGTGTGTTGGGCGTGATTGGGCATTTGAATGATAGATACGCTTATGAAATTTGTTTTTATTGAATTATACAGTCAGAACCCGTTAAACCCAAGTCAATGCGCAAAAAAAGACCTTTGGCTTAAAACCTTAATAAAATCGGCTCATATAGGTAAAAAAAAAAACAGTTTTCGTGTATATTCGTTTTATCAATACATAGTTACATCGTTAATATTAACAAGTTACAATAACTGCATTAGTAGTAAACTTACTTAATACAAAAAAAACTTGGAAATTAAATTTCTTGTTAACGATATTTGTAAAATTCTTTTTAAAAAGGAAATCATTAAATTTATTATATTTAATATGTGATATTACATATATATTAGTAATAAAATAATAATAATAACAATAATCGTAATCATATAATAATCGTAATCATATAATCACATAATAATCATAGTCAAAATCATAATCATAATAATAATCATAATCATAATAATAATAATAATAATAATCATAATCATAATAATAATAATAATAATAATAATAATAATGATAATAATAATAATCATAATAATAATAATAATAATAATAATAATAATAATAATAATAATAATAATACACAATGAGTCTCGGTATAGCGGACCTCGGTATAGCGGATGTCTAATAAAACTCTCGGTTTAACGGATCAAAGCTCAGAACC